AGCATCAACAGCTCAGACACAGCCACGGATAGCTTACTTTTTTAAGAGCTACAAATCCTGCAGACCGTTGATGGAAACAGGCTAATGATGCCTCGAGCTACTGCTCCAAGTTAGAGGTGTGTGTGTGAGTACTCCTTGGTAATTTAAGCTTGTCAGTGTGTCTGTGTGTGTGTGTGTGTGTGTGTGAGCGAAGGAAAAAAAGTCTCACATAAGCCTGAGGACTGGCTTTAGCCAACCCTGTAAAGGTCAAAGACGTACAGCGTTTCAGCCTGTAGAGCACACAAAAGGGCACATGTAGTTCGCTCTATCGCTCTATCAAGCTATTCAGCTGGATCCTCATCAGGTCCATACTCCAGAGCTAATTTACATGATGGGTCATCCCTACCGAGGCATTATATGCTAATAGAAAGGAAGATAACCCAGGATTTGGAAATATATGAAACTGATGAAGAAAAGCAAGACCATGACTGTCGTTTTCTCAAATAAAACTAAGGTGGGTGTATTTCACCCAGGCTGTACATATTCTTTTTACCCACAGAAAGATAGGAATAGTGATCTTAGAATTGAAAGGCATAGGTCATATCCCCAGTGTGCTTTCGCTTGTCCGAGCCCGTCTTTATTTGGATGTTTTGCCATATAACGGTCATAGACGTTCATAAAACACAACGCTGGCTATGTGCGGCGGCAAAGTGAATTTCAGGCCCGAGTCCTTGAAAAATGCCAGTTGAATTAATCTCAGTGAACCAAGTTGTTCGTTGCATTCCTGAAACTGTGTAACCACCCACATTCAACCTGCCATAGAGCTGATCGTCACGCGCCGTTTTGTCCTCCCGCCAACACCTGGAATGCTTTTGGTGGAATGTGGAGGTCAAACCACCAAACCGGGCCGAGGAACGCAGCCGTAGCCTGCAACAAAAACCACTGCTTTTAAAAGCATGGAGGGATTTCATAATAACACAAATATCTCTAAGAATTAAGGCCAGCCGCTGATAAACTGAAATTTTGTGGATAATAATGAGCAAAACCACGGTTTAATAAATGCGGGAAGAAACTGGCACAAATAAGGGCGTCCATCACAGTTGTGTTCGCCATGTTCACTCTGTGTTAGTAAAAATGGCTGAACCACAGCCCTAAGGCTAAGTTGAGTCAAGTATTTTGATACATACATTTTGGAGAGCAGAAACAGCTAATTTAAGAACCGGAGTTGGGCTTTTTCTTAATGTTCCTTCTGAAGTTCAGGAGGTTAATGGTCAAAGGGATGTTATCAAACTAACTATCTAACTTTTCCCATAATCTCATGGCAACTGAGTATATCAGTGTCATTTGTTAATTACCCCCCCAGGGTACAGAGTAACTAACCCTAACCCATAAACTGTGAACAGTAGCAGGGATTTATTGAGGTGTCATAAGCCGTTATGAAGAATCCCTCGTGTCATATTGTTAACTAAATTAAAAACTGCGGCTCTAATTTTTCTTCCATGTGATTTTGCCTACAACAATTACATTTTAAGGTAGACATATTGCACTCTACGTCTACTACAACTAGAAGACTTCATAAACCTCTTAGAAATTAACTGGATAAAAACAAAAGAGAATGAAGAAGGCTTGTTTTGGGCTCTGGATCTGAAGCTTAAATGACCATCTATACAATGTGGCGGAGCTGCAGGGGTAGCCTGGGCGTTTATGGCTTCATATGGCACTTGGTGACTCCGGTTTAGCCTCGACTTCCAAAAAAAGCACCTGGGACACTCAACAACACACTGCAGCATTACAGGGGACGATGCAATGCTACAAAAAAGCTGTCGTTTTTCAGAACTGATTAGCAAATGTTAACACTCCTGCCCCGTTTTATGAACAACTGCCATTGTTAGCATGTAGGCTGTAACTCAGATGTTCTTTCGAGCATTTGTTTTCATGTAAGTAAAGAAAGAATTAAGATGGTATACATATGCCAGCTTGGGAGGAAAGTACCACTCAAGCCGAGCAGCTAGCTGTCAGGCTTACCCCACTAAGACGCATCTGGTGATTGAAAGCGGGTGTCTTTACTGTGAAATCCCTCATATTTTCCGCCCAGATTTCCGCACCACGCTGGCATGCAATCTTTAATCCCACACGGTGCTGGCACTAGGTCGGTTGGATTTGGTTGCAGGATAATGTCAGGGGAAGAGTCGTATTATGACGCCAGCTTTTTAGTCCTATGTCGCTGGGTAGCTCGGTTAATGGAGTAATATTTGCTGGTGAGGCTTTGAGCTGCTCGGTCCAGTCGACAACAACTGCAGTCCGCCACAATTAAGACCCTGGCAAGTCATCACAAGGAAAGCAGTCCATTCTCGGGCAATATCTATGGCTTCCAGATGCTGGGCTGTTGTGCTCTTCATTTTTGTTTTGCCAGTGTTTTTAAAAATGGACATTTTCTGTGCCAAATGTTATTGTTCATGTACATTTAGAACTCTGACAGTACTCTCTAATAGTACTCCATTTATTTGGATGGGGGAAACCATCAAAATAAAAGAGTCCATGCATTAAGCCAAAAGTGATTTGATAACTTTCAATATTAAGTTGTGAAAGCACAACAATCTTCTTTTTCCTCCTGTCAGTTGTTGGTTATTGTTGTGGGTTTCAAATTGCACTATTATCGTGGTAACCACAGCGGGTTTAGAAATGGTTCTGCAGGCCTGGGCTGATGTGCTTGTGCAATTGACGGCATCTCCCTCGATTTTATTCTGTGGAGAAACACAGAAATGCTTTTGACTTTATATTTTTATAGAGTTCGAAAGCAGGGAACACGCAAAGTTCAGCCATCTGTAATTTTGAAGCATCCACTGCTGCAAATGTTTACTCGAACGCATTAGCTAGGCATTACAGGCTTTCCTCCACAAGACTTTGTCCAAAGATCTCACAGGGTGAACAAATATCGCCCCCCTCAAATGGTTTCAGAACAAAGAGTACCTGTGGACACAAATCCTCCTGATGGTTTTATTTTGTTGCTACGTCTGTCGTTTGCTTTAGATGACAGAAGATTCGCCTGTGGTTCCCGGCATCCTTACAATTTTTACTCCCTGCTCCACGATACGGTAAAACACTTCATCCCCATTAGTTATATCCGGAAAATATTTAGATGGTTTCCCTTAATTTAATCTCTTACAAGAAATGCTTATCCAGACTCTCGGAGGAGAGAGTGAAAACAGCCCCTGGATGTCGGCATTTTAAAACTCCCTGGTGTGCCCAGTTAGCCTTTTAAATTTCACCATTTTAATTAACAAAATGCCTGTTTGTGGGATGCGTGCGTGCAGACCTATGTGCTCTGCTTTATTTTGTGTGCACGCTTTCCTCGTCGAGGTGTTTGTGCTGTCTCGTTACTTTTAAAATCCCAAGGTGACATTTCTTTGAGCGGGGAGCACAAAAGGCCACGCACCTCCTCGTGTGTGCATGTGTGACGAAGGGTTATCTGAAGAGTCACGGCCGGCTGAGTTTGCCTTTTGTTCGCCGTCCACACACAGCCAATTAAGAGACAAGACTGACAAATCTGCTCCTCCTCTTCCTCCTCCTCTCTTTCCCCTCCCTGTGTCCTCCTTGCTTTTTCTTCCCCCTTTCCCTTTGTGTCCCTTCTTCCCATCTTCTCCATTTTTTAAAGCGAGCAGGTTGGGTGGACTCTCGTATTTGAAGTGACCTTCCAGCGATGTGAACTTTTTAAAAACATTAAGCCTGACGCCCACAACAAAGTCACAGACCCAAAGGAGGCCTTTTAACTCCACAGTCACTCATCCAAGCTTAGATACTCTCTCTATATACCTGAGGGCATGAATCCAAAAATGGGGGGTGTCTTTTATTTATTTATTTATTTTTCTACTTTTCTTTGGAGCGTTTTTGTTCTGAGAAATTCATGAAAACTATAATGCATGTTAGTATTTCCATGGCTTCCCACAGCAGTAATGGCTGATTGGGGAGCGTTCCATATCGTGTTTGGTATTTACATAAGTTCAGCTAAAGGAATTGTTGCCTATGCCTTTGATTCAGCATTTCGCCTTTGCTGTCAAAGGCAAATTTAAAAATGGATGAGAAACCATTCAAAGGGGGTGACTACGTGAGAGAGAAAGATAAATGAATAAGCAATGAATAGTTGGAAGGCAAAGAACGGAGGCGGAGCTTTCATATTTTTTCCATTAAGGATTTTTGAGCAGCTCTGCTTTTTTTTTCTTTGTCGATAGATACAGGCTAATTTTTTTAATTTCCAACTCTTTCTGATAGATAAATGGCTGTTCTAAAGTACTAGTAGGGAGATCTGCATTAGCATTAAAGCTAAAGGAAAAACTCAAAGCAGGATTAATGGGGGGGGGTTTGAGGGGAAGGAAGGTTTGTGAAATGCTGCACTATGAGACAGAGGCTTGACAAAGAAACAAGGAGGTACCCTGATAAGAGGGAAAAAAGGGATGACATGCCCTGTTCGGATCACAGTGTTGAAATTGTGTTCTCCTTAGCCGTGTGCATCCACAGCTGTGTGTGCACCCAAGGTCACGGTATTCATATGAGAATGAATAAAACGAGCGCACAGATTTTCCTTCTTTTTTTTTTTTTTGACAAATGATCAGGACTCGGAGGCTGATGGTGACCCTGGTGAAGGAGAGTAAAAGTACGGTAGTTCAGGAGAGTTTCTGCCTCTATCCAGTGTCACGAGCAAATCTGTCAGCTTAACAATAGCCAATGAGAAGAAACTCGCGTGATCCCAAGGCTTGCTTTTGGAATGGCTTCTGTTTTTAATCCTCCATCTCATTCTCCCAGCTCTATTTGCAGGGTGATCATGACCTTAGTGTTTAAGATTTGCTTTCATTTTTTTTTTCTTTACGGCGTTCTTTCACTTCCACACGCTATAGCTTCCTCTCTGAATTTAAAGGATATTGTCTTGAACAGACTAATAATGATATGTTCTGTCTTTATTATTTTTTATGTTGGGCTGCTATTTATGCTTTATCTATTGTCTGTCTTATGCCCCCCTGTCCTTCTTGTCTCTTTCTAAAGGAAAACAGCGGATATGTCTAATCATTCTGAATCAGCCTCCTGATAAGGACCACCTACACATCTTATGGAATAAAGGTAAATATTGCATATATCATGAAGATTAATCAGACAAGCCGTTGTAGGTCACTTTGAAGTCAAACAGATTACACTCAATACGTGCTCCCCAGACAGTTTTTGTGAGATGGTAATGTCTTCCCTGTGTAAAATCCTGATTTGATGTGATGCCATGTTGTTGTATCTATTTATCCCGACCCACTCCTTACCTGCCCTGTGATTTTACAGGTGATAATATTCCTCTCTACAAGGGTGCCTTTGTGGGTTTTTTTTGTTTTCCAAATGAAATTCTTACACTTTTTGTGAAAATGGTTTTAAATCATCAGCACGTTTATCAAAGACGCACAAAATATCAGCGCAAATGGAGTCATTGTCAAATGAATCACAGATTTCCGGCAGATTATTCCATGTAATGAAAAGGAACATGGGCTCCGATCTGAGGAATCACCGGGTTGATTTCTGTCTGACTTTTTCATTCCTGTTACCTGCCCTTCGTGTGACTGTGCTTGTTTACATAAATACGGCAGCTGCACTCCTCAGCCAGACAACAGACAGCGGAGTGCCACTTAGGGGAGAAGAACAAAACACATTTTAAGGTTACGCCTTATTCAAGCTGAAGCCAGGGTTGCTCATTACCCTTAACTGCTGTAACATCCATCAAATCTCAGCCACCTGTAGAGCAAGGAGGGTATCAAGTTGCAGACATGTTATATGTTTAGCTGCTCCATCCAAAGACAATCCGATGACAGCCAGATGGTGCTCGTTAGAATGGCAAATTGCTCTGAATAAGCTTTAGATGAGCGCTAATTATACAGAATATAAAGGCAGCGCTGGGCTTATGATGAATGATTCTATAGAGCTGCTGCCATCTAAAAATCAGCATGTTTTTTTTTTTTTTTTCTACAAAAAGGGAAAGCAAGTAGAGTTTTTCTGTTTAAAAAAAGAAGGTAAAAAAAAGGCATCAAATTCATGTAAAATGGACCACTAGAAATATGTGGAGACTGCAAAGTGCTCCTGAAAACTGAACATTATATAGCTGATGTGTGTGGTATGTGCTGCCATGGAAATGTGAGTCATGGAAGAAGGAGGGATTATGAAAAGCCCAGGAAGAAACGTATCTGCCAAAGCTAATATCTGCAAAATGATTATGCCAGCAACAACATGCTGAAACCTCCTTGAATACAACATTTCTGGCATCCTATATTTTACACTCTATATGTGCAGCACAATTCTTACCTGTCTCAAAACTGCAATTCCAAAGTGTGTTTAGTTCCCATTTCTTTAACTAAGAGAGCCTGAATGAAAACCACTGCTTCTAGCATTAGCTGCGAAGCTACTGACAGTTCCGCTGAACCCCTGTTACACATGCTGCACATTTAGGATGAGCACGAAAAGGATGAACACAAATTTCCCCGGTGTCACTAAAGTCGTTCTGAAAGGCGTGCATCCTCTCTCATCAGCAAAAGATCTGCACTTCCGTCTAGATCTGTGACCCATGGCTAAAAACATGTAGTCGTGTTATATGGAGGTGCTTCTATCAGCTTTGATTTGTAATCACATTGTTCTGTAAAAATGAAGTTGAGAAAGATGTTTAACTTTCTTTTGCTTTGTTCCCAAATACTTTCTGTGGTTCATCTTTTAAATGACTAGAAATAGTACTGAATCCATTTTGACCAATATACAAAAAATAACAAAATTGTGTTCAAAAGGACAAACAATCCCACACACATACAGTATTCATGCATCCACACACAAATAAACACATTTGCTTACTGAATTGTCTTTAGATGCACTTCTGTATAAATTATTAGTCTGGAATATGAACACAAGACTGGCAAACAAAGCCTTCTCTGTACATCAAATGAACGGAATGCATATCTTAGAGAGGCAGTCCTTTCCATTAAGTTTCCAGAGAGCAGGTCTGTTGAAATAATATAAAATGAAATTTGGATGGAGGCACTCAGCCTAATACAGGTGCACAATAACACTGCAGTTCTTCTCCGAGTTCAAAAAAGGTGCTGCCGAATTTAGTTGAGGATCCACGAAGCTCGTGTTTGATCTTTTCTAGTCTATCAAAGTGGAGAGTATCTCTGATCCTGGACTTATATAAAGGAAAATAAGGCAGCTTCAAGCAAAGTAGGATTAAACGCCTTGATAGCGATGTCAGGAAAGCCACGCAGCCTGCCTTGATCTTCGGTCGAAAAACTGCACTCGGCAACACACCAACCTACCAACTCTGTGACCTGGAGGGGAGAGCATTACCAAAACACACAGCATGTGTGAAAGAGGCCGAGGCTTTTTTTTTTTTGCACCTGTCACAAGCTGGGTCAGTATCAAAATATATCGTAGGCAATCTCGGTTTTGTCCCATTGCTTTATCTCGCATTGGATTCGACAGTGATTTTCACCTATAGAAGAGGCAGAGAAAGAAGAAGAAAATATTCCCACAGAACCTGGTTGATTTCTTTTTCTCACTGGGTTTTGAAATATGTTCCAGAAAAAAGGGATTCTTTCATACACACAAACACACATTCTTAGTGTGTGAGGGGCTGTTAGTCTCAGAGTCATCCCAGTAATGATTATTTCCACGCTTAACAGGTTGATAGCATTCACCACAGAAACGGAGAAGTTAGACCCATCAGGGTTGGGTGGAGTTGTTATTTTTTTATATGTGTGTGTGCACGTTTGGACATTTGTTGTGTGGCTGGTCCCTGAAAAATTCTCCTCAACTACCCCTGTTCTTGACCCGTGCAGGAGTGTCCAAATGAAGCTGCTGAGTTTGCAGACAGTCATAAAAAAAAAAGGAATTTTGTGTGCCGTAAAGCTCCCTGGTCAGTCATAAGTGGGACAAATTGGCCACTTTAGGATGAATCTCCCCCTAGTTAAGTAAATAACGTCAAGATGTTACACTTTATTTCTGTAACAGTAAAACTGAAAGCATTTGTAGAATTGCAGAAGTGTAGAGTGCTGCCATCATTAATTACTCAAATATTAAAACCAATCATAATTTGTTTTTATTTTAAAAGTAGTAATTAAATAGGTTCTTCAGATTACTTCTTGTAGGTATTCCCATACGTCTTGCTTTTTGCTATTGATGAGAAATAAAATGCACTGAATCCTCCATCGATGGGGAAATCTGAACCCCGGTCTGCATAGGCAGCTACATTTGTATCTCTCCCCAAAGCTCTTTCCACTCCTGCTCACCTCTGACATAAATACAGGGAATAACTCATAGTTCTGTGAAAAGGGCAGGAAAAAAAGAGAATTCAATACAGGACAGGCCTAATAATCATTTTCAAACATCCAGTCGTTGGCTCAGCATGAGCTCGCCGAATGGCTCCACTTTTGGAATCACAGAAAAAAAGAGTTATATGCCCAAGGACATTTTGCCGATTGTTGTTGAAGATGGCGAGAGCTGTGCTCACTCGCTTTCACATCAGCGCCCTGCTGGCCCCAAGTTTTCTGGCAGTTTAAAGAGCCAGCTATTTGTTTTGTTTTTTTGGGGGGGGGGGTTTGCTCTTATTTGCTTCAGAAAAGGGGATATGAACAGAATAAAGAAAACTGAAGTGCACGCTACTAAAGGGTCTGAGTAAAAACTAATTTCTTGTCACCTTAAAAATGAGCATATGCTTTAAAACGCACTAGATTATGAATGGATCTGTTTTCATTGTTTTATCAAGGGCAGAGGAATAAAGAGTGACCTGGATGTTACATTTTAATGCCAAAAATCACGGAACAAGAAATCAACCTCAAACATTCTGGCTTGTAAAGAAACTGAATGAACGCAGTTTTTCCTTCTGGCCAGAGGGCTTATAAACAAAATAACTTTGAAGGCAAATTATGATTAAAAGCAATTAAAGCACGTTCAGATTTGAATTTAATAAACAAGTCTTTGATATTCTTATCAGTTGAACAGAAAGCCAACAGGCACCTTAGCTCTTTTCATCTCGCAGAAGTCGTACACTCAGAAAGACGCTGCTGTCGAGCTTTATTACGCCAGAGAAGCTCTGCAAAATGTTAAATGACATTTGACAAAGCAAATGCTCCCGTCAGACCTCACACTGAAGGTTGCCCGCTTCACGAGATGAAACATTTATGGGTTTGTGAGGCTGATAAGGGAGAGGAGCATAAGCACATGATGTGATAAATATTAGTTTGGCAATCCGCATAAGAAAACTGCAGAAAGCCTGTAAAGAAAATTAACTGAAAGTGAAAGGAAATCTCATCAAAGCCTAAAAGTGAATCCACGGTGTTGCAGTTTATCCGGAATGTATAATCAATACTTAACGAAACCCAACCCTGTTGGTACTGTTTTTTTCGTCTAGACAGAATTGATATCAAAACAACTGAAAGTTTTAGGATTTTTTTTGTTTTTGTGAGTTACTAAGTAAGTGAAATATTAATAGACTTCTGATTGGCTGATGTTTATCATATGCCCAGGTTCTAACATTATAACTTGAATGCTATAGTTACCTTTATTTCTCCTCTGGGTGGAATCTTCCTCTCCCAAATTTGGAAGAGTGCACTTCTTGTATGCTTTGTCCTAAATGACAGAAAGAGGCCTTCCTGCTGTACACGATTGATGTGACTTGGTACGTATGCGAATCATGAAGGCTTTGGGAACCTTCGGCGTGGGACATTGTCCCACAACTTTGCTGAAAACAAGGTCCCAGTTTGCATCGCAAGGCATTTTTGGGAAGCGTGGCTCAGAATTAAAAATTATATGCATCTAAAGGTGATATATGACATTTAAAAAGGAGTAACTGGTCAATTGCACATTTAAATGTACACATAAAAGAAAAAAATCCCCCATTTTAAAGGAGTATTGGATGTCTTATGTTGAATCGGCCAGGTATTGGGGGGGCTGCTGGAAATACCGTGAGTTTGCTGCTCTTGCAGAAGGTTATTGTGTATTTTCAGGTGCTTTTCTGTTGATTATTATGCTATTGTGGAAGCCAGCCTGTTTCCAGCTCTACAGATGCTGTAATGCTTGCCAAAATGTGCTGATGTTTAATTGGATCCATTTTTTTCTTTGTAACAGTGAAATGTTCTCTGCGCTGCTGGGTGCAACACAAGCCCAAAGCGTGATCAATCCAGAGTGGGCTAAAACCTCCTGAAGGGACCTTTACATTCAAAAGAAAATGTGATTTTCCTCTCTCCCACATCTCTTTGAAAGCTCTCTTTACGTACAATTATGCTGATGGTTTAGGAAAATGTTCTTACAGCTTTTTCCTTGTTTATCTGCATTATTCCTCCTCACTAAGGATAGTTGTAAATATTTGATTAGCTAAATATTTGATTAGGCAGTGGGGGGACCAGGGTGAAAGTTGTCCTTGGATTGCATCATGTTCAGTATGTCACTTTCAAAACACAAAAAAACTTGAACAAAAAGCATAGATTTCATTGAAAGCCTTTTATTCATATTAGGCTTTCAACTAAATATGGGGCAGGGGTCATGAGATCATTAAACTAATCAAGGGAACTATTTTGTTTCTATTCTTTGGCAATGCAGTGTCACGGCAACGCAGTTGGAGTGGTCATGTAGACAATTTGGCCATCTTTACGACAAAGATACTGACTGGTTTCTGAAATTACAGCAGCAATCCTTGAAAATGGAAGGCTTCATTCATCAATTCTGCTCTTTGCACCAATGCCAAGTCAGGTCAGGAAGAATTTTCCACAGGCCGATGTGTGTGTGCTTGACAGGCCGATCTCAGATACTGGCGGTAAACACGCGTACAGCCGGCTTACAGTCGTTCCTTGCTTAAAACGCCATGTATTTTTAATGCTGCGCGCGTGATAAGCCGGCGTCGACGCGCTCCGAGCGTGTCTCGAAGTGTGTCGCTCTCCAGATGGTTGCTCGCCTGGAGGCATCATAGCCAGGTCTCCACCTACGTAGACGCAAGCATCTGCAGTCTCAGTCGATCGCGCGCGCACCGGCACAGGACTCTCAGGTCCTCTGATGTGCTGCCCCTGGGCCTCCACGTCTTCACCTGTGGGAGTCGTACCGCAGCAGGGAGCACGGCGCCGACCGGGGCTACGAGAGCCCCAACACTGATCAAAGGGAACTCGTTTTGCTGGTGCCAAATGCGTTTTTTAAGTCGGATCGAGTTGCTTATCTCGCTCGCGCACCCTCTTGATTATTTAGCTTATCAGTCACCCATTCATTCAGTCATTTTCCCAGCCACTCATTCAGTCATCTCAAAATGCGTCATCCGCTCATTCGCCTGCTCACCGCGCAGCAACACCCCTCGGTGAGAATAACTCTCACTGCAAAACAAACAGACGCGCCTCTGTTGATTAGAGGTGCTGCACTTCATCATTTATTGATGCTGAGAAGCGGAGAAAAGTTTGAGTTTCACAACTTCTCTCACCTGCAAGTCATGCCACAGCCATGCCTGTACGGCGGAGAGAGAGGCTGAAATAAGTCCGTCTTCAAACCGGCCCCTTCCCGTCCAGCAAATCGTAACATATGGAGTTGGAATATCTGGGAGGGGGTTTGAGGCGAAAGACTGCAGCGAGGGTTGACATTGAACAGCAGCTGCAACCCAGAGTTAAGAAAAAAAAAAAACTGACACAAGGAGAGAAGAGAGAAGGAGCAGGTGACACTGCACCACACACAGAATCACGGGGGAAAGAGAGAGGCTACAGAGAAAGGAAATGAAACACCCGTTCAAGAGATCAATCAAGTCCGGGCAAAGGTGCGGAGATTGTGGTGGATCCGGTGACAGGGTGACTGATGAGGAGAGAGGTGTAGCGAGAAAGGGAGGGAGGACATCGAGGCATCATAATAAGGCCTGTAATCTTTTTAGCTGTTTTTTTGTGCCTCCTTCTGTTCGGCGCCAAAACCTCAACTTGACAGGTATTAATACCCTTCCCAAACCTCCTCAATACAGCCCTGCCCTGATATATAGCACTCAGCGGCCGGAGCGTGCGTGTGCTTTTCTACATCAGCGTGTCCTCACACCTTTTTTTCCGCATCAAACTCAGCGGTAACGTAAACGAAAAGTGTTCCGGTGGGGTTGGCGGCGTGCGGAAGTGTATTATCTGCCGCGCCGCCGATTGAGCGACAGGATCCGTCGCCTCTTACAAACGCAGGGGAGGGATTATGACGGCCGGTTTACTTACAAGGTCATCATTCCTGACTGCTCCCGCTGTCGCCACTCAGCCAGCGTAATATTGCCATCACAAATCACAGGACAATCTACATCAGCCGTAACATTAAACCCACCTGTGTGCAATCCCCGGAGGCTATATCTCACTTATAAAACGCTTGAATGCCGCAGGGGTCATTCGTGTGGTGTACGCGCGCTTCATGCTGGGATTATTTTAGTCTTTTAAGCAACAGGGTCGGGCATCGTGGATTGGTTCGGAAGGTCACGTTTTGAGTCGAACTGCAACAGTGTGTCCAGTGCTTTGGTGGGTTTATCGGGAGCACAAACTTGGATGAATGTAGACTCCAGGTTTCCCAACTGATCTTTGCACCATAAAGGAAGACCATCACAGTCATTCCCTTAGACAGTGAGAGAGTATCCGCCACCTGTGGATGGAGTAAAAATAAAGAGAGGATTTAGTTTAGTTTTTTAAATTCAGATTGCCCACTTGCACCATTCAGAATTTTAAAGACAAATGTTTTACAATGTCATTATTTCTTGATGCAAAACATAGACAGCAGGTGGAAGGCATGGTGGATAAAGGCACTAACTAGCACACAGGTCTTATTTAGATCAGTTTAAATCCATCAGCTGTCTGAAGTTTTCGATGACAGTTGGTAGATCGTCTGAATGATGTATCCGCTCCATTTTACCTGCTAACTGAACACAGAGAAGTTTGTGTGAGATTAACTTAAGTCTGATTGGTGTTTTTTCATTATTCATTGCTACATTGCTCACGAATTGTGCTTCAAAATTTGTTTTTGTTTTTTTCTCAAAGGAAAGCTGTGAAGTTTCACAGGATTTCTAAGTTTGAATCCTGCACCACCTCATTAGTTGTCACAGTTCACTTAGTGCTTAATTGGTTTAGCTCATGTCTATGATATGCGCAAATCCCAAAAACTGTCTTTCCCCTGACGTGAAAACTTCGTCACTAGTAAACAACGGTTCATATTTCTTTCGTGATAATTAGAAAAAAAAAATCTTACTTGAGCTGACTTAATTAAACACCTCAGCATGCATCACAACATCCCTTCATTATATACCACCTCGCTGACACTCCCGTTGTAGCTCTCGAAGAGTAGATCAAATTAAAAGTTCTAATCACCGATTTTAAAATAGCTTTGTATTTTATGTAACAAAGGCTTGGGTTTGGGAGGGAGCCCAGCTGGCAACACAAAATTAAACATTCAACTCTTCCCAGTCTCTTTGGAACTGGTTTTACCTAGTTTTGAACAAGGTGAAAGCGGAAGACATAGTCTGATTCTTTGAAGTTTTTCCCCCCTGTGCGCCACAAGAGCCACCGGCAGAAAGCAGGGATTTAAAAAATAGACTCCCTGTTCAATTAGAATAGAAGCTTTAAAAGAGCATGCATTTGCAAGTAGTTTGCATATAATTTGATGGAGCGTGAATAACTTCTTAAAAATTGTAAATACCAGCCTCCTCGGAATGCTTTTAACCATTTGGACGTCAACTAATGCGGGTTCCCGACAAACCTTTTCTTTTCTGTACATTTTTCTAATGTGATTTTAAGTAAGTCTATTTAATCAACAAGGACAATTTGGGCACTGATGCTCGGATACAAAGTGCTAAAGTGCATTGTACATTAATATGTTCCCGTTCTCTTTGATTAAATGTGTTAAAAAAACAAAAACAACTCGGTGTGTAACATGCATCAACTACTTTGGGAGAACTTTGCGAGAGTTAAGCACCAAATAATTTCAACGGTTACGCTCATGTTAAAGGCGTGATACCAGTTTGAACTCATGTCACATGTACAGGGGTGTTTTATCCAGCTGGAGTTAAACAGGCTAAAGGACTGAATGCCCGTCTGTCGGTTTTCTTTTAGCTCTCTTGAGGGCATGTGCGGATGGAGCTGCCAACCACCTTTACAACATCACCGCTGGAAGTCGTGACAAGTGAGTAGGCCTTTGATATTAACAATGATTAATCAGTTGTGCTTAGGCTTAAATGCAATTGTTGCATGAAAAAAGGAGGATGATAATTAAGCATTGAAAGGCTGAACGAGAATAGTGTTTTTCTATCCAAAAAGTCGTCAGGTTCTGAACACCCAAATGCTTTTTATCTTTGCATGTAAGGGATTGTACTTGTGTGTTAGTGTGTGTGTGTGTGTGTGTCTGTGTGAATCCATCAGCTAAAAAGGTGCACTTATATATGAGTGCCGCGTGTATTTCTAAAAAAACTGACATTGTTGTGCAGTCTGAAGTAAGTTTTTTCTTTTTTACTCCTAATGGATGGAGGACTGCTGTCACGTTGGAGATGGATCTGGGGATCGGTGGGTCCCTGAAGTGTCGAGACTTTCACATTAACACCCGGAGTGAGAGCATGAGTGTGCATTTCACCAAGGTGTGAATGGGATGTTATGCTTGTCTGCGTGCCTGTCTTTGCAATTCTACCCATGTAGAAACCATCTGAAATCATTGACATCAGAAGTGCAAAGTCTTCTGAGAAGTGACGTCTTTGTGGCAAATTTATCGCAAAGAAAACTTACTCCAGACCTTAATATGAGCATGTGAAAAGCAGTAAAGTCCAGAAATGTCTATCTTTGTTCACATTTGACTCTGCTTTAATGTACAAAACAATTGTTAGAAAATGTCTTCTTTTCCCAAGACACAAATACTTATGACACAACCCTTTTTAGTTTGATGTCATAGCTTTTTTGGGATGAAAAATGTAGTTTGATCGATTTCTTAAACTGTTGGCGCTAGACTATAGCAGGGTTGAAGATGATGGGAGTTTAATATTAATTGATTATGACAGTCTTTGCTTGACCAACAGTGGTTCAGCAGGACAAGAAAGTCTTCTTTTCATAATGTATTTAAAGTCAAAGACGTTGTGTGCATGTTTTTGTTTTGGATGGACAACATGGGTCTGAGATTTAGCCCGGATTCCGGTGGAATTCATACGAGTACAGAGTGATAAACCAGATCCATCCCCTGACCTGCCCGGCTGAGCTGTGGATCAGACAGCCAGGCTCTCCCTTAAGTCTGACTGCTGCTGACGCAAACAAGATCGGTCCTTTAATGTGTGCAACCCACGAGGAAGGTTGAGAACGCAGAAAGGATGCGTTTACGGGTGGGGATCTGTAAATGAATCATCAACAAGTTGAGATGTATTTAGCCCAACATTACCATACTAATGGACTACAGAGGGAGAGAGGAGAAGAGGCAGGGAGAGCGATGCAAGTCATCAATCAAAGCCAAGTTTTATGAGACCTCAACAGCCCTTTGAAACAGACAAGAGCAGCAACCTTCTTTGTCTCCTGTAATGAGGAAACTAATGTATGACGGGAATGCACAGGAGGAGAAAAACAAGAGAAAAGGACGCTAAAGGGAAAAATAATGGCTTGATATTTTTAAACCAGGATAAATAAATCATAGATACACAAAGGGAGTTTTACTCATTAAGATGAAAACTTGTGCCAGTGCCACTCCTCCCACAGATATTGCTGACCTCCATTCTATAAATAACATTAAGAGTTTTACCTTTTCTGTCTATTTCCATCCAAACCATTTTAGTTTAAGCTCAAGGTAGATTTGGTAAAGTTGTTACATTCTCCATCCCAACTTCAATGGATTTAATGATTCAACTATTTTCTTTTTTGCCACTACAACAGAGGCACATTATATATACTGACTAATGAAAAAAAAAGAATACAAAAATGGAATGCATCAATTTTGAGAGTGTAATCCATGATGTATTTCCATTTTAAAAATGGAAATTTGAATAGTGCACTGAGGCAAAGGTTGAAACCTGGAATAGTGGAAGCTCTCTGGTAACAGGTGTTGTACACAGGCAGCTCCAGTGGAGTACACAGGTATGGGATTTGCACTCATCCGATGGCACGACATCATGCAAACTGCATTGTGTAGCTTTTAAAACGGTAAACCAGCTGAAGTGCTTTGCGTCATAATTTCATCTTAAATTTCTCCTTGTGTTGTTTCATTATAGAATTCCTGTCAATTTCAGTTTTTTGTTTATTTCAGCAGTAGTCTCGCTTGCTTGCAGGAGAGCTGTGGAATCAGATTCCATCTCAGGCTCAGTGGCAGCTGAAATATCCCACTTTAACAATTTTCTAAATCTCTCCTTGCAAAATACAAACAACGTCAAACCTTTTCGGCAGTTAGTTATTGAGCGGCGGCTTTAGTGTGCATTTGTTCCCATGTTGGCCAGTTACTTTCTTTGTCCATAAAAGAATAATCAGGATGTGAAGAAAGAAAAAAAAAAACAACCTGCCACCTCTGAAAGTCTCTGGCGCTGTCAAGAAAACAGTGGGAAGATGACTTCATACTGCTAAAAGAAAGGTGCCACATAATTTTCTGTCAAAACAGCTTTAATGGATAGACATTAGGGCTGCAGAGAGGCGGGGGCGCCTCATGTTAAGGCTTTCTGCCTGTTAGGATGAGTCAAGTGACAGTGATTCCACTTCACCGTATGAAGTGTTGGAAGAAACAAAGTGCATGTTTTCGACCCAGACAAAGCCCACATCCCCCTTTTTCTGTTTTTTAAATGGATTCATTAAAGTGCTCTCTGTCACTTTACGTAAGGCTAAAAATGTTCTCATATTATGTAGAAGTGATCATGTATTAGCTGTCTTCTTGCTAACATGTTTGTGTTCTGACACTGTTTTTAAGCCGTAAGATATTCAAAGTATTTTTATTTGAGTGATATAGAAAGTATACAGGAGGCATGTGTGTTCCTCTTCACAAGTGGCTTATTTTTCTGAAGCACTGCTTCTTTTTTTTTTTTTAGTTTGACTTGAATTGGCCTGGGCCTACACTGGCTTTGCCAACACGCTTTTTCTTTTCATGTTTGTTTCATTTAAGGTTTACTTTCGCTCTACAAATTCAGATCAGACTGGACCCACGGCTCTCGGCGCAGCAGCCAGGCATATTATTCTGCACTGCACACTTGATTGTCTCTCATCTTAGGCATGTAGGCAGGTACAAATACCCCAAAACTAAAACACCAGAAAGTCGGCTTTCGCAGAGCAATGCAACTGCTGCAGCTTTCCTCCGTGACCCAGGGTTCAGGGATTGTTCTTCAAGATTGAATTCAATGTTCTCGGCATCCTCACCCTCCGCGCAGCACACACATAGGAGGACGCTCTCTTATTTTAATGAAGATAGCAGCTGTCGTCAGATAGGCTGTGACCATTGAGAACACTTCACTGATTTAAAACAACTGTAATGTCTGTATCCTGGGTTCTATGCAACAACAAGAAAATTGTTTTTATTATGTTGCTATTTGAGCAGGACCACTGAGCAACCATCTAACTCACAAGATTTTTACCAAAGTTGAAGAAAGATTGCTTTCGCTGGCTCTCACACGTTTGCTGACACCCTCTGGCTCCTTTAGTAAATCCCGCACACTATCTTCCTTGTTTCAAATGGAAATTGTATTTTGTCTAATATGTGTATCTAATCAAATCCTCTGAGAAAGATAAGAAGTCAAGAAATGTATGAGCAGAGTGGGGAACATTGGTACACGGGGGCGAGGTAATTGTGTATGAGCGGAGTTTTATAACGTTTTCAGCTGCCGTCTGTGCTGTTCGGAGGAGATGCAAACACAGCAAATGCGACTGTGTCAGTGTTTGACTAAGCAGGGGTGTATATGGAGGGGCATGGTTGTGTCAGCATATTATGGCGGATGTATCCTGGTTTGGAGAAGATAATGCTGTCACACCCGACAAATGAAGCTGTCACGACCGAGGCTAAACCCTAGATAAATCCATTACAACTTTCCATCCGTTTGTTTCTTCCCCCCCTGCGGTCCTCATTGCACTCGCGGATATTCGGCTCTCAGCGTTTACCTGATCGGAAAGCACCTGTATGCGGGGTGGTAACTTGGAGAGCACTTTTGATAGCTCGATATTGTGTGAACTACAGACATTACAGCGAGTGCAAGGTCTTGTTTTTTAATGCCACTTTTGGACATGCAACTGGGTTACTGTGCAGGTGGGGTTTGTTTATGAGTGACTGATTTAAAATTCCCCCAGACTTTATTGCTCTGTGTTTGGAAATTGACGTGCTGAGTTTCTGTTGATGAGCATGGGGGCCTGGGGTTTACTATCTAACGCGAGGTCTTGACTCCCCGGATGTTACATAACCGGTTGTGCTAGTTTTTGTTAGGTTTAATGTAGTAAAATGTAGCAATTAAGAATAATTAAAATTGCAATTATTTCTCTTTTCCCTCCTCTCTCTTACTCCCCGTTGTACACCTCGTAGCCCTAGGAGTAATACAGACACTTAATAAAGTTTGGGTGATTTGGCTGTGGGAGGTGTGTAGAATATTGATATATGATTATTAGAAGCCTAAAAGCACCAAATTAATTGGGGGATAAGACACTTTTGACGTCACACATGAACCGTCTGGACACAAAAGAATGGACGCAGACAGATAATCTAACACTTTGAGATGTGGCACTTTTGTACTCCTTCAGTATAGGTTATGTATGCATGTTGAAGTCACAAAAACTTCAATTAGCATGCAAGCAAGCTCACAGTCATTAAACTTGAGGTTATAATGATTAGAATCTGTGTTGCAGAGGGACAATAAGCGCTCCATTTAAAACTGATTGGTTGTTTTTCTTGCTTGCCTTGGCAGGGCTGCGCAATATGAAACCAAACACATGCTCATTCACCTCCCTGTCAAAAGAGCACGCTCTTACAGTGCACAACAGCAGTAGGTACACCTCTGTGCAATCTTCCAGAAAACTAATTACCTCCTAGTAGCTTCATTTTAGGCCCAACGTAGAATTCCGAGCAAGTGCTTTAGATATACTCGAATAAACATTCTGTGCAAGGGGATTCTCATAAAGTTTGCAAGATTCATGTTCACCCACATTGTTCTTCTCCATGTTGTCAGCTTGAAGCCGGAACACAGATGCGTGGGTTAGTTTGTGTACTGATACAGACTACTCCGCTGTACAGCTGAGATCCAGCTGTAATTCAAATCAACAATGATGTGTTGATTTTCGCTGCCAGTAAAGCTTCTTTGACCTAATTGGTTGAAGTCACTCACGCTTTATGGTGATAGACAGCACGCCGCACGCAGTTACCAGCTCAAAATGTAAGTGATTTGCACACAGGGCTTTTTATGAATTTGTGTGTGTCACAGTTTAATCAAAACAAAACCGTGTTAGTGTCAAGCAAAAAATGTGAGGTTTGGAGAAGACACGGCTCCCTGAAGTTGAAGAGTATAAAAAAAAGGATTTTGTGATTTATTTTCACTGTTGTCATTTTCCCTGTGCTTGATTTTTTTTTTTTACTGATCTGTCAGCTTTATTTAAACGCTTACGGCCTCCTCACTCGTGCTGCAGGCAGTTCTGATGCAGATGTCTTGTTTTCTTTAATGTAGGCATTAATTTTGACTTATTAATGCGTTTTTAAGTGACAGATCTATTCCCAGGTGCTTACTTTGTGGACTTTTATCATGATTCATTAATTCGCTCACAATAAAATCATTCAGTTCTCCTGATAATTGAAGTCCATGTGAAATGTTGGTACAGATATGTACACAAACACAGCCCATCTGTCTTAACTCCATCTTAATTATGTGAATACGTTTTAATCCATTTGAGATCTCAGCAATTCTTCAGTGATGGCACACTTGCCTTAGTTCTATTTTCTCTGTTCAGTATTGATATAATATTAATCAATAATTCTGTTTTAAAGCTAAGCATTTTGGATCGCCTTGGAGATTTGTTTTTTAACCAGAGGACATTTAAGAGGTGAAAATCGTCCTCAGTTTGCTGGTTAATGTTTATCTGGATAAAAAAAAATAGGTCATTTTGGGTTTTCTAAGTAATCTATAATTGTGGTCACATTTAAAAGCAGAATTTTAATGCAGGACACAAAATGAAAATGTATATCCAAGTGGAACATGACTGTACCATCCACCCAGCTCATCCCTCCTAAGAGAAACTCTGGCCCCGCTTCATATGGGGTCTTCCTCATTATGCTAACGTATTCTTCCTTCTGTGTCCTTTCCCCACGCGACCCGAAAATCTTTCCTCCTCTGCCTTTGTGGAGGATATTTTTGATAGTTTAAATGCACCTCCAGTGTAAAAGGAGAGGGCAGGCCAGTGGAGGAGGGCAGAGTGATTTAAAAGCAGCTGTATCCTCCCTCCTCACATCCGTGTTGAGGAGATGCGAGAGAAAGATGCAACCTAGGGCAGGACTGTCAGTAGAAAAAGAAGAAAAAAAATATTATTTGGCTTTTGTCATTTTTTTGGTCGTTATCGCAGAAGGTTGCATTTGGGCAGCAGACAGACTACACTGGGTTTTTCTTACTTTCTTTTGTCATCGGTTCACATCAGCTCACATTAGTCAGAACGCTAAACTTGTCAAATTGCTTTGCCTAATGTTTATGTGTATAAGCTCTAACAATGTTTTCCACCATGCTTCTTCCAGCTATTCATTCATATAAGAGGGAAGGGGAGTGAACAGAACCCAAATCTCTTCTAGAGCTGAAAAGACCTGAAAATGCTAGTGGAGTGTTTATTGTGCGTTCCTGGAAATATTTGAAGAGCAGCACAACATCTTCTAGCGCTGCCTTGATTTATGAGGTCGGATGGAGAAATGGAATATTGCCCATTTGCAAGAAAACAAAGCTAGAAATAAACATTTCAGATATAAGATCATGAAGACTGAGAACACTTATAGGGTATCGCAATTATGTCACAAGATAAATGGAGGCTGATTGCATCACAATGACAGATTCTAAATGCGTAGCAGAAAAGTGAGGAGAGCGGAGGAGGCTAGAGAGAAGAAATCATCAGGAGAAGGAGGGCTGTGGGTAGAGGAGGAGGGAAAAGAGCCAGGAGGAGAGGATGCAGAGAGACAGACGGATTGACAGACAGACACACAAACAAACGCACACACATGCACACTCAGGAAAAGGTCACACTGCCATCCCCGCCACCGATACTCAGACAAACAGGTAGTAAAATGCTCTATTTCCCATCCAAATTAAAGTGTCAGTTAATATTAATGTGGAAGTGAGGACTGTCAGACACACAACCGGCAGACACACAAACACATACATAAACAGCGATTTCGCCCATACACACGGGCTGGAACACAGAGTTTCGAATCTTGCCCGGTCAATTACTGGAAGCCGATGGGGTCCGTGCGTGTGCGCGCGTGCACACGCCGCTATGATCAAGTCCTGCGACTCGGCTCGTCTCATTTGTCACATGAAGGTTATTTCTGAGAGGAGATGGCAATTGCCGTTTCGGTTTTATTAAACAAAGGAGAGAATGACGGAGCATTGTTGCGGGCGCGCGCATCACCTAATGTGTGCCGTCACATTTCACTTTAAGTACATGAGCGTGGATCATAAAATGTTTTGTATTATCTTTTCTGTTTTTTTTTGTCTCGCCCAGGTGGAGCTGTGCTTATTCGCCTTACACATGCTTGCTGTGTTTGCCTAAGTATTTGCACACGTGTGCAGCAACAGATTACATACAAGTGCCGTTCTGTTTGTCTCGGTGTATCTTGTTGGTGCAAATGGGAACCCAGAGCAGGGAGGGGAGAGAATAATCCTTATGTATCTCTTTCTTCAGCCGACTGGAACATAGCCCTTGCGGCTTGCTGGGTAACATGCACACACAAACAAACGCGCACCAACACAATACCCAGCCAACCGTAAAATCGGAATGTCAGACCTGTTAATGCTTGTAAGATAGCAGCAACTATATCCCTGCATGGTTTTACGTCTAACACATGAAAACACACACAAAATGGAATCAATGGAATAAACAGAGACTTATCGCTCTCTTTTGACAAAATGCCCTCCTTAGTAGTAGTCGGCAGATTTTTTGGCTCTTTTCAGTAATATATGCAGCTGGAATAGTTAATTCCCTTTGGTCTGGGAATTCAAGTTGCCTCAAATCACAGTGGTATTTGTATGAATTAAACACACAAGAGAAAATCTTTCAGGATGTTGGCACAGTTTAATTTGCAGGAGTGAAAATCTTAATGACCTATGTTAATGTGGTGTTTATTTCTAGTTTAAATCATTAAAGCTAAAATCGGAGCCCGTTACTACATTGTGGTGAATTGTAACCGATAAACAGTTGCTGTCTGGGAGTTCTCGCTCAATACAAGTTCACTTGCAGAGATTCAAACAATCAATATCTGACAATGTTCTTTTTTCTTTTTTTTTAAATATTTATAGAGCTGGTGTTGAGAAATTCTATTTTTTTCATTTCCTACAGCTTGCATGTGCCACCTTTGTAGGAACATGATGCAAAATATGATTTAGATTTTTACGTATTTTGTGTAAAATGGGATTTTTAAACATGAATACAAGGTTATTTTAAGAGCTTTTTGTTAAGGAGTATTAGATATTTAATGCATACAACTTTAGGCCTCTTGCAGGAAACATATTTAAATATATTGGACTTTCTTTTTTTTTAAACAAATGAAAACTATCTTTGATTGCATAATTCTTTTTAAATCTGTAAACAGAAAAGAGGTAGCTTGTCAGTAAATTCTTTGATTGAAGCAATTTACTGACCCATCATTGTCAGGGCATGTTTATCAAATGAAATTCCCCACTGAATTACACCAAGCCGTCAAGGATAAGCCAGAACATTAAAACGTTTCAATGACCCTCGCTGTCATAGGTGAATCTGATGGTGGGAAATGAAGTCAGTCTGCAGACCCCACCTGTCAACCTGCAGGGTCCAAACCATCCATTTAGTGCTAATGATTCTGTAACAAACACTCCATTGGGACAGCAACCGATTTTTCTGTCCTGACATGTAGAGCTCTTTTCTGGCTGGAGAGTTTTAGGTTTATATTAGGTTTCTATGTTCATAAAGCTGATACTCAGATCTGATTGAGAACATACTGATCTCAGGTAAGAGAGAAGGTCAATAGCTGATCAACATCAGGTAGATGGTGCCGTGTGCGTGTGTGTGTGTGTGTGTGTGTGTAGGAGTGAGACAGCAACTGGCAGAGATCTATTTATTACGACGCTTGTGACTAATGAGCAAATTTGCCCCCAAGCCTGTAATTACTCTGCTGTGCTGATGTGTTTGAGTTTATCACGCCGTATGTACCTAATTATCAGAGCATAAACACAAACTTTTGAGTCTGTAGGCTGCCGTGTTTGCCTTGGCGTCCTCTCCCATCAATCTATGTATATCCGCAGCCAGCCGTGTGAGTGTGAGTGTGTGACAGGGCCAGGCTCGGCGCCACAGAGAATCACCCTGTCAGTTTCCGTGGCCCCCCTCCCTGGCGGCGTCACTCTTCTCCCTCGTTGCACAGATCAAAGAGCTGACACATGCCCCAATGTCGTTTCTCTCCCTCTTTCCTCTGTCTCAACATCACACTCTTTTCCAATCTTAACCTCCTTCCTCTGCCACTCACCATCTCTTTCTATCCCCACATCCAGCTTTCTCCCCGACTATATCAGCGGGGATTTTGATTCCATTACTGCTGAGGTCAAGGCATTCTATGCAGACAAGGTGAGTGGAACAAAACTCCTCGCACACGCGTGTACACACAGAAGCAGTGGGACTTCAGGCAGCTACAATATGGGGTTCCAAGCAAAACAGATGCAACTTCCTGTTCATTTATTCAAAGAATCAAACCTCAAACATAAAGCTTTTTTTAAAAGATTTATAGTTCAATGCCTTCCTGTCCAGACCAAGGCACAAATTGATAGAAACAAAGTTGCCAATACCTAAAATTTACGATTCTTTTGTGGCAGAACTATGCATGCACAGTTTTCCCAGCTAGCAACTCTAAATGGGCATTTTTCTGCTTAACTGGTGAGCTGCAGATCTGGCAGTAAGAATTGTTCTCTGCCCAGCATCAAAAGCAACACGTACAGCTAGATTTTCATACGCAAGCATATGTTCCACGTGAGCGTTCTTAAGACTTTTCATTTAAAAATGCCACACTTTTAGCAACGTTAACGGAGACCAAATAAGTAAGCCACTGGCAGATAAACAAAGAAGACACAAATGATCAATTTAGCAGCTTGCAGCTCTCCCACTATCCTGCTGAGTGGGGCTGGAGTTTGTGGTCCACTCATAAATAATAAATGAACTCGATTATCTCATAAAGCACTGCTTATCAGAGAGCTCGGTCTAACTCAGTCTGTCGGAGGTAGTGTAATGCCATCCTCTGGTACTGTCAGCATTTCAACGCTGGTTCCCAGCGTTTCATGAGCTGTACAGAAAAAAGATCAGTGACCTAGAAGCCGGAGCGTAAAGGCAGATATGGTGCTAGATCTTTCATTCAATTGGACTATTTCTCCATATACGATTATGTAAACCACTCATTGAAGTCCCCTTTGGGATTAAGGGAACAGCACTGACTATTAAAGTCAGTTATTGTCAGTAATTAAGTCAGTTATAATCATTTATATTCAACGTTGGGTCACAATTTGACAATTCGTGCAGTTGGACAGATATGCCAAAAAAGATACTCTAGATGCCAAAAAAAGACAAGTTGTTTTTCTTTGAAAAAAAAAAAAAAGGAATTAAGAGTCATAAAAGCAGATTGCGATTCGTCTATCTCCAGAAAGCACATATCAAAGGTACAAAATAATTTTCATTTTTACAGACATGCAAGTTCTGTTCGTTTACCCAGAAGGACGCGTTTCCCATCAGAGTGCAAACAGACTTCTCTCTCACTGGCTGTTTCAGAGCACTTTGACATCTGCTAGAATTTAGTGAGGTACTTTTTTATGTTTTTATTTACTTCCATCAATATAAGGGCTAATTACTCAAAGTTATCACCTTCTCCATATGGAAAGAACTTGTTATGATGATAAAAAAAAGTTAAAAAAACTTTGAGGTTCTACACTGAATAACCAAACTTTATATTTACGGATATAGAATCAAAGGTATGAAATAATTATATAAACTTAAAGCAGATGACTATCGTACAACATGAGGAGCAGTCTTTATTCACTCATGGGGATTTTCTGGGTATTTGAGCAACAATTTCAACATAAACTTTGTACATTCAACATAGCCAGGGAAAGAGAGGATATATTCTGGATATACTCTGCATATATTCTATACCGATCTTTGCTCTGTGTAGCCCGACTTTCTTAAAGATATATGTCCATACAGGCAAATTTACTGTGCCCAAAGTCATGGGTAAAAAAAGCTATTTAATCATGAGGTGTATTTTTCCTGGTTTTTAGCTGGTGGAATGTCAAACTGCAAGCTTGGCTGAACAAATAACTAATAAAGGATACATTTATCATGCGTGCATGCACACACACGGCAGACTAAAAGAAATGCAAAGCCCATGTGATCTTTATGCGTGTCCCCTTGTATGCTACCATCACCCGATCCAGACTCCATCATGCCGACACACAAGCCAACAACACTTCCCATATTCTTACACACATCACAGACTTTGGTTCGCCTTTGGCTGTGACACTTTTCTCCCCCCTTTAACCTATTTCTCCCTCCGTGTTGTCAGCTCTGATACAAGAGCTTTTTCTCATAAATATCACACAGGTTGTCTGGAAAAAAAAAAGCAATACCTTTTTCCTTGAGAGAGAACAGACTCTTATGGAAATGCTTTTGAGGCAGAACAATGAGAAAGTTTGCAGCGTTCCCTCAGAGATTTGCTTCAAACGGTGAATAAATCTGTATAATAGAAAAAAAAAGAGGGCGAACCCAAAAAAAAAAAAAAAACGCGTCCATCTGGAAGGGAGAGAGACAAAGAGAAGCTGGGACAGAGAGATGATGGAAGAGGAGGGGAGCGAGAGGAAGATGGATGCGATCAAACAGAGCACAGCGAAGAAGTTTGTGAGAAGCGACTGAATTGTGTGCATGCCTGTGATATGTGAAAGGCAGTGTGTTTTAGGAGGAAAGTGACACTGCGGAGACACGGAGACAAAGGGGGAGAAAGCCAGAACGAGGTTGTTTACCTAGATGTTGTAGTTTAGGGCCACTGACTGGAACCTCTACATTATTCAACGACACAATCCGCAGGCAGCCAGACAACACTAAAACACTGATTTATACCTCTCTTCATGTCTCCATCCCTTTCTTTTTTTTTTTTTTTTTTTGTTTTTTCCTATGCCTTATCTCGGTCTGGATATTTGCTTTGCTATCTCTATGTGTACAAAATATCTGATCATACTTTGTTGTTTTTCTTACACCTGCGTTACTTTGTGTGTGTGTGCGCGTGCATGTGTGTGTGTGTGTGTGTGTGTGTGTGTGTGTGTGTAGGGCTGCAGGCTAATAGAAACAGCAGACCAGGATCTAACAGACTACACCAAATGTCTTGCAGTCATGGTGGATGAGATTCAGAAGCGGGAACTACAGGTAACACCCCACTCGTACATTTGATTAAAGCTGTGAGTTGGATTTTAAGGTGGTATTTATCCTAAAGAAATGAACATTTCTTGCATGAAACTCCTTTATATCAAAGAGATTGAATTATTTCTTTGGAACTGTGTATGAAAATAAACAGGGAGCTCAGATAAGCCATCCACATACCATAACCCTTAATGGCAGGCTGAACCAGCCCCATATTTTGGTCTTGTAATATTATTGGAGCCTGAACTCATCAGAGGATGCTTTTTAATTGAGAATAAAAGCGGCTGTATTGGATATTTGGCTTCATGAAGATGTAGTATGTAAACAGAGAGAGTGGAATAGAAGGAAGTAGGTATAGGGTCTGGCAGAGAGCAAATTACAGATGCAACATCATGATGAATATGTTTACTCAGTTATGTAATCCAGCAACCTTTTGATACTTCAGAAGAATGTTTTTATTCCCTCTGCGTGTTTTTTTCAATCTTTTAGTGTTGTGTCCATGATTGAAATATTCCTTTTCTCATTTTCCTGTACAATCCAGTCGTAATATATAGTACACTCAGTGCAAAGACGTGTTCATTTAGTCACCCACTTCCAACCTGCAGATGCTCCATTTTGCTTGTGAGAGAGGGGGATGAAAAAAAAATGAAGAAAAAAAAAAGTTCTGGGATTTAGCAACCTAAACAAAAGTGCTGTGACTTATTCTAGCCCGGCCGCTATCTTCAGCTGCAGACCTTATTGGTCATTGATAAGGCGGCGTTTGCTCTCAATGTCACGCATCTGACTTGGACCAAACGGCAGGAAATAACTTTGATTTCGATCGTATCAGATCGGATAAAAAATAGTCATAAATTCCTGCTCTAATAACTGGGTTTCTCAAGCTTTGCAATATGACCAGGAGGCAAACACATCCTCCTGTTAGTCAGCGAGAGGAAGGCAGGGTAAAAGTCGCCCTATGTTGGCATCTTTATTCCTTTTTTTAAAAAAAATTTTTATCTGGATATTGTAAACTTATTGTATTGTCTAAGCCTGATTCTAATCCATGCGTTAATGACATGATTGTGCCAAGTTTTTTTGCTTTTATCCTCCTTGACAAATATAAAATGTATGATTCTTGCATTTTGCAATGAGGGGAGAAAAAAATTACATGAAACTTGATTGAAGCTGAATGCTTGTATTTTTACAGTCAATAATAAGGTAAGTAGAAGCAGGTATAGCTGTGGGTAAAACAAGCAAGTTCTTCAAGTCCTCTTCTTCCGCAGCCTCCGAGTGTTTAGTGCTCTTACGTAAGGCATTCTGTCCTCAGGTGCTTTAGAAGTGGTGCTTAGGGGTCAGCAGTGTCAAGACTTTGTTTTACTCTTGGCAATTCCCCATTGTGAATGTGTAGGTGTATGGATATGAAACACTGTCTCTGCTGGGGACCCAAAAAAAAAAATCCACATTTCCTGAAGGGAAAAAAGGTGCTATTGCAAGAAATATATTTCAATAACCACGCTCACATTTACACCTACATATAAAAGTGTGATTTGCGAGCTATTAAAAGTTTGTGTTTTCTGCGATCTTGTTTATTTATTGCCGGTTAAAATAGAACCTTGTGTTAACACAGCTTCCAGCCCTGCGCAGTAATTATCACAGAACAGTCTGGCTGTGATCATTATCAGTATGTATATTGTCACAGGATGTGTTTTTATGTGTGCTCATCCATCTTTTTCTCTGCCCTAACGAACTCTGTTTCTCTCTTTTCTTGTTTCCTTTTGTTTTGCCTCACTTGTATAGAATTTCTGAGCATTTGAGTGTTGTTCCAATCACCGCCAAGTGTCCCAATCACTTCACATCTCTAGGCTAATGAGGGGCCATGTGGAAGGCACTTTGGAACATGCGAACATGCTGTTGGTGCTTCATCTCATATGTGCGTGTGTTGCCACACCATACGCTTTCACTTTGTTTATGTCAGCCTTTGTCCTTCCCTTTTATGGATCTTTTTTTTTTCCCCCTCTCATCCTGGCTAATATTTAATCTGCTTCTGCACTGGTGCTGAGTGTTTGACCGCCCGTCTGCCTGCAAGAGATAGGAGCCTGGCAATCTTTTTTTTTTTTTTTCCTTAACATTTTCAACGCCTCTTGTTTGTTTGCCCTTTTTCGATGCCCACTATTACTCATACTTGAGCTTTGCTCTTTTCAGTACTTAAAAAGAACTGAAATATATCATCGCTGAACTTTTCCAGTCATTCAAAGTCATTTCTCTACATGTGAGCCTCAACATTTGTGTACATACTTTAGATACACTGGCTCATGCACCTGCCTGGAATATGCGTGTTATGACACAGATTCGCATCACTTCGTCAGATGAAGCATTGTATGTGTTTGTGATACCTTCTCTGCTCCTCTGGTCATCTGTTAGGGATTCTCAGTGAGATGACGTGTCTTTTAATCAGAGCCGGCTCCGCCACCTCCAGTTTCCTCAGCCAACCCGTAAAAAAACAACAGCTGCTTTTCATTTTCTGGGTCATGAGATTCTTCATGAGACATGTTTCTTTTTTCTTTTTCATTTTTTTTCCTCCAGGAAACAAACATGAAATAACAACAAATATAAAACTGGCATGTTTCATGTTGTGCATAGCTGACATAACAGATGTGTTGATGGAGAGTGACGATTGTGCACGCAGACGTGTCACTGAAGGCCGACACACACTGTGCGATTGTGCGTTTTCCCGTCTGTTGACATCTCTGCTTGTTTTTCTTTCATCACATTTTTTCTCCTTCTTGCCCTCTAGTTTTGTCACCTTACCGTGAATTTTGAGATAGCGTTTATTCCCCAGTGATGCTACGCGCTGTTTGTTTGAAGCCAACAATTCTTTCCTCGCCAACTTTGTTCGTTCCGAAAGCAAGCGAGATGGACAAGAGTCGGATTTGACTGAAAACCAGTCAGTGGTAGGGAGGATGCAGGTTTCTAAGCCGTTTCCACATAGGCTTTACATTATAGACCAAGAAATTCCAACGGCCTTTTGTACCCTATGAGAGGGCTGTTTGCAGTTTCCTTCTGTGTAAGAATTATTCAATAATTCGATCTTACGAGGCAATTACAGAAATGGAGGACCATTGATTGATGATTTGATGGATTTTATGTTACCTTGGGGGGCAGCTGGATTCTTGCAGCAAACATACATCCTGTCAAGCTCCCAACACTCTTTGTGGCAGTCGGAATGTTGGTGTAACAGTGGGGACTGTCAGTTTTGTCCAATCCTGAAAGCACTGCATTTAAAAAATGAATAAATAAATAAATCAAGTGAACAAGAAAAAAGTGCAACACTTAAAGTTGTCTTGACACAACCCTATGTTTACTATCAGGCTACATACCCATGTTAATCTGCTTTTAGTCGGTGATAGATATAGATGATGTCAGACAGCTGATTTATCCAGCAACCAACACCTGGCTCTTTCCAAACAGTTTGAAACACTGGCCTCACACTGTGTAACTGTTGTATCAGGTTAGATTTAAGTTAAAATCTAAGTTAGATTTAGTGGTGCTGCAGATGAGACATCTCGCCTGGAATTTTGCCAAAGAAAATTGAACAAATGAGCAAATGTTGAATAAATTTCGAGCTCAAACAATAGAACCCACAGCAATGTGAGTGGATTTCTGTAGCCCTCAAACTGTTTTAGTTATGCAGCTATGTTAAAGAGTCCTACTGGCATAGCCAAATGCTGTAATATCACTGTGACCCAGGATAGTTAAAAAGAAATGCATTATTCCCCCCTGATTATTATTTACCTAAAAGGCAAACTCCCCGTCTGTTTTAGAATGCGTTGGGATAGAGGTAGATAGACTTTACAGCAGTCTGTCATTTAAAAAGCAGATTATATGTTGTTGCTTTTGGCTTTTTTATTGGAAAGCATTAAGCTAAAAAGTAAGTTAAATCACTGCCCTTGGACATGGTTCATTGTCTGCCGTCTGGACAGAGTCCTTTGTATCGGTTAATGCAACCAGTTTAAAATTATTTAGCATTTTTATCAAATCATGCAAAAAGGTGTCTGAGAGCAGGATTTGCATTTGCACTTCACAGCCTCTCTACCTCTGTGGCTCTGTCTCTCTCTCCGAGAGGGGAGTTTGTTTACCGTGCGTTTTTGCTCACAGTTTCATGAGGGGGCGTCAGACAGATGTTGAAATAACCTCAATCTGAGCACTCCAAAGTTTCAACTCCATTTCCTGAGGCTGTACGTTTGTCATGATACAGCTGGTTCTATAAATCCCTTCCCGTCGCGAGTACACGTTTGTTTCCAGCTCTTTTATGTCCTCAAAAAGACGTCGAACACACCGAATGTATAGCTCAGTGAAATGAAAAAGCCTTTCTGAGTAGCAGAGTTGCGGGCTCTCCTGGAGGTCACTGTGCAGTAATTTAAAGCTGGCGCATGGTTTCCACACTCAGGAGAAAATGTGTTTGTCATCATAGCAAACAACTGGAGCTGTGCAGAGATTTTCTTTTAAAATGAAAAGGCTTAATCCCCCTGATCGGAAAGAAAATGGACTTTATGATCTAATTATTTATCATTTAAAACAAATAAATGTGTTAGTCATAAGGCAAAACTTCTCTTTTCAAAGGTTTTCTCCTGTTCATTTCCCAGTTGATACATGTTTTAACATGGCATTTCGCCAGTCTACTGGTCATTTTCTTTACTATTTGAAAAGGAGTCATGATATTGAAACCTAAAAAGCTTTCCGACAATGAAGTTGAAGCTTCAAACAGCTTAAAGAGAAAAAAAGGCTTTAGCCTATAGTTTGTTTTTGTGACCAGCAAGTACCCGTTACAGCTTTTGGCACCACACATCTACAGAGAATGAGCTCATTCGATCTGGATAAGAAACATGCCAGCATTCTTTAAACTGTTTTTTTTTAAGTCTCTCTAAGTAAATTAGAGCAGAAAAACAGCCTTGAAACACTTGGGGCAAAGACCAGTTTCTTTTTAATGCGACGCGCCCATTTCTTTTCTGCTAATTGCTTGCAGTGGGGTTGAAACAGAAACGCTGGAGCTTGTGTGGTTGGGGAAATATGGTTCACCCTCCGTGTTGCTGTGACTGGCACTTGTCACCCTGTGACAGCTTTTTGCCCTCTAGACTGTTGGTTTTTAAGGCTGTCAGCACTGGTGCTTGGCTGCTTGGGGACTTAGTATAAGAATATAACTGCTGAGAGCAGTAAATATCGTACTTAAGTGAACTTGTGGCTTAAAGTTTAGATTAATCTTTTTCAGCTCTTAGCTTCCAGGAAATAGTTTTAGCTTATCCACTTAGTGCACTTGATATACATTTATTATGTTGAACTTATTTCAAGAGGCAGGATGTTGAATACCCTCATTCCAATGGCCTACATTTATTCTTTGATCTACTATTGACTACACATCCTCTGTTATGTTTTGTTCTCCAAGCTTCCAGCCCTTAGTGTGTTGCCTTGTGCCTCTTTGTCCTTGTTCATACGATAAATTATAATAAATTGATAAAGTGGGTACTGGATACTGGATGCAAGTTGTTATAACAAAAATGTAAATGTTTTTTGTACAATTGAAAAAATCATCATCAAATATAACTCCGGTCTCATGTCAGTTGCACCAGGTTACAGAAGAAGATCCCTGTGGTTTGTGTTTGTGGTTTCTTTTTTTCTCTTATCAACAGCAATATGCCTCTAAGTGCCAAAAGGATAACACATTCTACATTTTGGTTGCTCTAACAGGCTTTTAAGGTGGTTTCAATCAACCGTCCAGCCTTTAAAAATGAAGCAGTGGTATTACATTTGTTAGCAATTCACAACCATCTTTCATTCAGGATGTAGTTTCTTTCTGACATATTAAGGAATTTATGTCATCGCCAATACTGACATTCTTTCCACAAATTTGTGTGACTATCAACCACGGTTGGTTTTATTTTGATCCAGATTCAGCTAAAGTTTTTTTTTCTTTCATTGTTGTTTCTCTCACTCTCTTCTCCCACCTCTGTCCCTTTGCCAAATACTGATCTCAGGGGACTGAAATGGAGCAGTCTGCAGTGCCCTGAACACTCAGTCCCAGTTTGTGTTGTCTTAAACTCTGCTCATTCTTCCAGGTGGATACTATCGTGACTCTGGGTGGTCTGGCAGGCCGGTTTGACCAGGCCATGGCTTCCATTGAGACGCTCTACCACGCTCAGTCCATGACACAGCTCCCTGTTTTGATCATACAGGAAGCAAGTTTGGCTTATCTGCTTCGACCCGTGAGTAAATTCAATATCTGCATTAAACTTTCCAAACCTATCTGCTTTCTGGATACAGTTTTCTCCCCTGAATCACAAACCTCAATTGCATTTTTTATGTGAATAATATAACGCAGACTTGAATCAGCTATCATAGTCATTGGTCATTGGTTGTTAGAGACTTAGACATTCACCCTGAAGGGAAATCAAGAATTTCTTTTCAAAATTCCCTTTTCACAAATATAAAACTCTTTTTACTTTAGCAATACATTATTGTATAATGTATTTATAATCCCAATTTTTGGAACAGCTCCCCAAAACACCTGTTTTCAGTCTTCTTTCACTGTTTTTTTTTTTCCTGCCTTGCTCTGCTTCTTGATTGGAGTGTTGAACACTTTCTTTGTTAAGTAATCACTTCAAGAGCAAGCAGAGACACACACACACACACACACACACACACACACCCACACCCACACACACTCACTTACTTCTCTGCTCTGCTCTGCTCTTATGATGTCCCAATTTACTGTTGTGAATGTGAGAGCCGAAGACTCTCTTTTGATGCTCCCAAATTGTTTTTCCTTAGTGCCTGCCACTTTCTCATGCTCCCACGTTGATTGAGTTTACAAGTGGGTTGAGCGGCCCCCATTTAGAAGACACAGGCTGCTCCCCACCCACACCCCCAACCTGCCTCCTTTGTTGTTTCTTCGTGAGGTCTCCAGGACAAACAACAAACTGTCTCACTTCCTGGTGACAATCGGTGCCACCATAAGCAAACCGCTCTCTCGCACATGTCCCCCAGTGCTTGTCACTATTCCAAAGGCATGTTGTCATTTGCTGCTTCATACCTCGACACCTCCAATTAATCTTACTTCAGCGAGGGTAAATTAAGCTCGTTTGTCAGCGCAGCTCCCATTCGCCGGCGACTAATGAACGCAGACACTTGTACATGAAGGTCAGAGCAACCTTCGAAAGCCTCCTGCTATTCGTTCAACTTACATCGGTAATTGAAGTGTTTACAACTTTTGCCAAATCTTCTCACCGCCCCAGTTCCATGCAATCACAGGTTTAGGATTAAGTGGCACACTCAGCACACAAAGTGCTCTGTACACACTCAACAACAACAATATAACACCCATGATGTGTTGACTATATCACCCGGTAAAATTGCTTAATCCATAAAGCCATAAAGCTACTTAGAAGTGCAGAATGCACAATATTCTTCTCTGATTAAATCTGGGGATGGTTCGTTTGCAGGCGTATGCTGATTAAATCAAGATTGTACCTGTTAGTTTCCATCTCTGGTTCCCAAACCCGTCGTTAAAATTTTGTTGTCATTTCTAGGAAACGTGTCTGATTTCTCTAACTGGCTCAGCGCTCTGTGTATTTTTCACTTCTTTTATTAAGTTATGTGTGGGGACACCATAAGGATTGCAGGCTTTTTGATGTTGACTTCCTGCACAACAAGAGGATGTTTTAATCCGTCCCAGTCCCCAGGTGTAGTGCTAAATTTACTCTATTTAAATCCCTAGAAAAGAAAATAACTATAAAAAGACAGAAAAAAAACAGGTTGTGCTGAGTTTATTGGCTTTTTTTTATTTTCTCCAGTTTTTCTACTCTATTTAGTTACGATACAAAGGCCAAGCAGAGGCCTTTTTACCCAGATTTGTAACTCACCGTCTGAAGATGCCTGATGTGTAATACTACATCAACTCAAATCAAGCCATAAATCATTCCAGCCCTCACACTTCACCTCTAAGTTGCAACCTTGTCTACCTGGTGTGATTTTTTTCTTTTTTTTTTTTCTTGAAGTGGGGGAGACTTGTCAGTGCCGGCATTTAAATGATTAAATTCAGATAATGCATGCCTGAATTATGTCTGATCGCCGGGCAACTGGGCTTTAGCCACTGGCAAAGCAGTTATCAATAAAGCATAAAATAAAATAAAAATACTGGCTCAAATAACCTAGGATGGATTGTTTAGTTATTACTGAATAATTTAATATGATAAGTGAAAAAGACGAAAAATGTAAGGTTCTTTGGTAAAACGAGTGGAAAAATAAAGAGAACTTTCTCACTGTTCCCATAATATACCAGCCTGATTTAGATTTTTTTTTTTTTGTATTCCTGGCTCTGTGACTGAAGTTTGGAAATCTCCCTTTTACTGATTACCATGGTCATCTGTGTGGCACTTGTACTCTCTAACCTGCTTACAGTGCACAAGCTGAAGTAGGTGAACAGGTGTGACTCAGGGAAGCCTTGTGCAGAGGACAGACATTTCTGAATGATCTATCCCTCCGCTGCCACTTCAAAAAGGCTTCTCATCTCCAGTCAAACGAATACACAGAGGAATAGCCAAAACAGCGATGGAAAAACTCTTTCAGCGTAAATCTGAATTTGATTTGTCACTCTGCATCCAGTGGATGCAAGCAAGCTGAAACTAATTGCGTTCATCGTATTTGAGGCAGAAACATTTTGTTGTCTTCATTGATCTGATTAATAAGTGACTCTGACGGTACACTGTAATGGATCGCTTTAAACATCGTAGGGATGTACGAGACTGTACTACCCTTTCATCTTTGTGGGTAAATGAAAAGTTTTGTTATTTTTTTCACACTTATGGATACATGCAAAGCAGTAATTGGCCTGCTGGGTACACATGGTCCAAGGAACACTGATCGTCCTCTGTGCAGTGTTCAGGTATGAGCACCATTCATATCAATGTAATTAATGAATTTGAAAATGTGCTTGCTGAATTATACTTTAAACCGAGCTGACACATGTCCTACTTCTGTTTACATAATCCCGCGCACAGATACAGACTGCTTAGATTAATAGCTGGTGATGCACTTAAATGTATCAGTTAAATGCTGGTGTCCGCTTCCCATTTTATTACAGTGGCATTTTTTTTCCCACTATTCCTGTCAAGCTTCTCACTCATTTGTGTGTGGAAACAAACTTTTTTGCTCTCTGTTCTTCATTCTCTCCTTTATCCTAACAATCTAACACAGATATGTTGTGCATATGCATAGAAAAAACAACCTCAGGGTTTTCTGAAAAAAAAGCTCAACATTTTAGATGTTTCCCCATTATTTCTTCCCCGTGGCCCTGCAGCTGAAAAAAAGAGAAAAATCTTCTTTGAACATGTCACACAGCAAAGTTTTCAAACTTGTAATTGAGTGCGTCATTCCCTGCAGGATTTGTCTGCATGGTCTTTTTAGATGGCTGATGGGACTAAGATGCAACTTTAAACACTTCTCTTTGTTTTTGCATTTGGCATTTGGATATTTGTAATCTTCATTCTCCTGATATGCATTTATCACACTGCAAACACTTCTCAGTTGACCACAACCACAGGGTTTCCTCCCTATGTGCACGTGCTGTAATACAGATGGCGTGATTCTTACAGAGAGTATCTTTTTCTTGACATTGTGAATAAGAGAAACTTTGCTCTGACCTTTACATGTTCATGTATCAGCTAAAACCAGTTCCTTCAGAGCAAAGTCATTATTCAACCTGGAGATTGGCTTTTCGTCCAGCCCTAATTTCTTGGTAGGAGGATGTGGTATTTCCAAATGTTGTTTATATTTGTGCTCTATGTTGAGCATTTTCCAAAGTATGTCACTAGTGCCCCAAATATAAATTCTGGTCCATCTTTCAGACACCATTCATAAACACACATTAACAATGTCAATAGCCTGGATGTCCTATGTATTAATGTGTACTGTTCTTTGTAAAGTCATTAAAAATCTGTTATACATTTTATGTTAGCTCAAATGGACACTATTAAATCATTGTGACATACAATACATGATTTAAAATGGCAGGGTCTTTCTAAAGAAAGAGGGAGCTGAAAATAGGACACAGTTTTGACAAGAGCAATAATTTTCTCCTGGGAGGAGGAGCTGAATTTCTCAGTTGGTGCTGACATTTTTTCAAGATGCGTTTTGTCTTTTATGGTCTTCACAGGATATGCACACGCCCATGCTAATTCATGTCCACATTTGTCCCATGTGTAGGGGAGCCACAGACTGGAGGTGAACACAGGTCTGGAGGGCGACTGGTGCAGCCTCATTCCAGTGGGTGGACCCTGCAACACAATCACCACAGGACTCAAATGGAACCTGAGTGAGTCCTTTCACTTCATTCATTAGTCCCCAGCATCCTTTATTACTATACATAGCTGAGTCATCAGACAAAAGTCATTGTGGCAGCCAGGGACACGCTGATTGAAGTCAGCCGTAGCTGACAATGACAACTCCTTATTATTCTCTTAAGGTGTGTGAGGACATCAGTTTTTTTTTGCGCAGTGGCAATCAAACGTCACGTGGCCAAACTCTCGTAACGAGATTAACCAGCGCTTAACTTGCCCCGGTCGCAGCTACCCAATATGCACCTCGGAGCTTTCGCTATTCTTGTGCATGATGCGGAAATCCAGTTGGACACTCATCTGAGCACCCCTGCGGTTTTACCCCACTCCGAGCCAGATGGCCAGCTGTGCTCGTAATGAGTTGGCACAGACCAAATTGCCACCCGTAAGAAGGAAACTCGGACCTTCTGTCACTGAGGTTGCATAATGTGTCTGCGCCTTTGTGAGGGTCCGCCGTTAGCACCTATATGTGCGTGCATAGGTTTCCAGGAGTCGATAGACCTCGCCAAACACATGTCTGCTTGTTTGAACATGCTGCTACGGAGTTTTTAATATGCATGCGAACGTACCGTCTTTATCCACTTCTCCATTGTGTGTGTCTGTGCACGTGCTGGCGTGTGTGTGTGTCTGTGTCTGTGTGTGTGTCTGTGTGTGTGTGGGGGAGGGGGTTGATTGGCTACAATGTGTTTTACAGTATGTTTATCTGACACACCTGTGAGTTGGCCCTCCGCATGGTAATGAGAGGGACTTTATACATGAGAGTCTTATGCAGATTAGCCAGTGATAACAAGATGCATAATTAAGCACATGCATATTTAGAAGGCTAGAAGTAGTGATTTCCCTTTGGGGTTGGAAGGAAGGACCAGAATATGAAAGAAAAAATTAGGAATATTAGTTTTTCTCTCACAGGTTTTTAATGCTGTGTGCGCAGTTTGTGCGTTGATGTAGACGCAGTGAGTCAACACAGTTAATACTTTCTTCTTCTAGTTTGTGTGTTTGTTTTGACTGCATAAATTTGTGTCTGTGTAGGATTTTAAAAATGCAGCTTGCTTGGGGAAGCCCAAGCCAGAAGAGTGCCATTCTCGAGTGACATTAGGGCTCCTTAGAAGTTCATTGAAATGATGCCCCACACTTGGGTTCAAAGCTTTTCTGTGATGAAAAATGTATGATATTTTTATAAAGAAAGAATTTTAGGCTGTCAGCCATTACAGCCTTTTGGCCCAAAGAGACTTTTTTTTTTCATCAAGAGGCTGTTTTTTTTCCTGCTCTTGCTTGAAAGAATAAAATCCTGCAGTGAATCATTTTGTTTTGAAGCGTAAATCTGAACTGAATACTGACTTGTCAGGCAAACATATTTATAGCTGTTACACTCCCGGGGGATAAGCAAGATGAGTTGAAATAACCCTGGCATAAATTTGTTCCATCATATCTTATTTCTTCGTCAATCATTTATTTGGTTTTGAGATCTGATCACACACGGTACACATGTATGTGAAGAAAACAAAGAGGCAACTGACAACTGCTTTGCTAAAAACCTCTGGCTGGTCTGGAACTCGGCTCAGTGTGTCCCAGGTAGATGTGGTGTCACCTTAATCTGCTGTGCAATTTCCATGACATTGAAAAAAATAGTTATTAATCAGATGGATCATTAAATAAAAAAAGTCACAAAAAAGGGTACCTCAAGACCTCTGGCGGCTTACTTTTCTTTCAAATAATTTGCTACTCCGTCTTGTCCTGCTGTGTGAGAAATGCCGCTCCACTTCATTACCTCTAAGAAATCCCGGGATGAATCCGGTGCTCATCCAAATGCAACACAAAAAGCCTGCATTGCAAACTACACCAACTGACCAATAAAGAAACAGCATTGAGTAATGATCGAGATTATGTCTTCTTATTCATTGTTGATGAAAGATTATACATGACATTATTTTCTGGGCAATTGAGATTGAAATAGTGTAATGTCATTTTAAAGAAAAGACTGCTTTTTATGCATTTCTCGTTCACGATGATGGTGGTATTTCACCACAGTAGTTTGACAAGCACCAAATAAAGCAAGAAGAAAACAAATCCCCCCCTATGCCCTCTTAGTATGTGGGCTAAATTCAGCCAGCTAAAAGCAAATGTTGTGGTCACCACTGTTTAGTGAGAAATAAGAATGGACTAGTCTCCAGCATATTTATCAGTTTATTTAATTACATTATGTACTGCGATAGTTGACCATAATGGGGTGTCTTTTCTGCTCTCTTTTGATAACGTAATACTGTTCTGACAATCTTTAAAGTGATTGAGGAGCTTTAGAGAGAGGCACATTTTGCAACTGTGCTCTTTTGTCAGCTTTCGACTTCTGAGACACAGGTCCAAGTGGGCAGTAGCTGATCCTTTTCCTGCACCACAGCAGGGGGTAAGGTGCGGAGCAGGGGGAAGAGATCTGCTGTCTACCTGTTGGGTAACAAGAAAGATGTTGCGAAAGCAGTTGTTTTTTTTTGGTCCATTTTGGCATTTTAAAAGCTGTCAGAGGAAACGCTGCCATTAAAAGAGAGGGTAAAAAAGAGTGGACAGGCAGCAGCTTGTAGAACGTGGGTTCATAATGTCCTCAGGGCAAGGCAGCCGCTTGGAGAGTTTAAGCTTGTCCAGGAAAGTGGTCTTGTACAGTGACCCTTTTAAGTTATTGGTAACTGCTACTATACAGGCTCAGTGGGATACAATTTGTTAGCCTGTCAGAGGGAGACACACCGAGACACACACAAAATAAAAGAACCAACTGCACACGGCTGACCTACAAATTCCCTCCAATTGGACAGGTTGAGGCGTCGTTACAGAGCATTGCACCCAAACCTCTTTTATAGAATGTATGACTGTGTGACCACACAGCATGTAGACATGAGGAAGTCTGAATGCAGACCATAGCGGTAACCGCACACATCCTCTGTCAAAGCAGCTCCACGGCTGCTCTCCTGGAAAATTTGTCCATTCAGACACTCAGTGTTTAGATAGAAGTAATTAAATCCAGAATATTTATTGATATTTCCTCTGTATGGAAAGCAACAGAATCTCATTCACAATGCTTACCTGACAGTCCAGATGTGAGGGCAGAACTGTGTGATTTTTGGGCAATTTGGCCCTCCACAACTCTGGTTCTAGTGAATTGCTTCAATATTTGCCTGATTAAAAAGGCAGAATTCACTACTCTGACTTTTGTTATCCTTTTGTCTTTTGTTTGGATCAGCAGACACAGAAATGACTGTTAATGGAGAGATGTTTACTGCGTTTGGAATAGCTTATAGCGACAGTTTCGCAAATAGTGCAATGGATTAGGAGAAAAATGTCATTACAGTAGGGAATGTGACTCAAAAGAAACTGCAATGACACTGATAGAGTTTTTTGCTTTATTATTATTTTTTTCTATACATAGAAAGTCAGAAGATGGCCCGAATCTGGATATGTGATGATGTTGCTGTCACTAACAATCTGCTATAACTCCCAATGTTGTGGATTTTGGACTGACATTTTCTTTTTTTAACCATCTTCCAATTAACTCATGTTCTCTCCTCTTCCTCCTTTCTCGCATTTCTGCCATGTCTACCTTCTCACAAGGAGTAGAAAGTGACATCCAAGCTGTGTATGCCTGTCAGAATGGTGCATCAATTATCAAATATCAGTAATAAATTCCCCCCAGGAAAGTAGCTGTGAATAATTTCAGCGTGCTCACATAAGCCATTGTGCAGTTAGTTAGGTCTATATGTCTACAGTCGTACGTATGAGAGTTCATTCATACATTTATTAGAACTGCTGGGGGCCTTCTACACTAACAAAGGGCATCATCATTAACATTAACCATGTCATTTCTGGCAGACTATTTTTAAAGTACGTGCCCATGCGTCACATGCACTCACAATATTTTATGTTTCACCATTAAAGTTTTATGTGTCTAGTAGATTAGAACATCTCCACAACATTCTAAAATGTATGTCACCTAGCCTGTCAAAGACTTGGTACATAGACAAGAACATGAAAACATAAAAGCAAGTTACAATAATAGATATTTTTAAACTCAAATGAGGATGGAAACCTGGTCTGGACATGTATTATCCATGTATGTGATACTGAAAATGGTGAAAAAAATTAAAAGGAGCCATTTCGGATGGATCAGACGCTAGCTGTTGACATGTGGCCCCAAGGAAGTCACGTGTTTTAGTCACTGCTTTGTTCCTTATTTGTAAGTTTTTCTGGGAAAAAACAACTTACAAAGCAGTTTTGCTTTGTCGATGATTGGCAGTAATTCAACTATCTGGAATGTAATTCGTCCTCCTCCAAGTTCACAGCGTTTAGAAACACCCTGATTTTTATCGTTGCCTCAGAATACGAGAGATGATTTAGTAGGTCCTCCTCTTCTGATTTATGTCCTAAAGACTTAAAAATCACAGCTATTGGAAATACGGGTGTCTGAATTTCAATTGTTTGTCTTTCATTACTTATTTCTGATTTGTGTTTTCTTATTTATTTGTAATTTACTTACCTAACCCCAAACGTTCACGTTTTATCATAGCCATGTTGCACTTGTTCAGTAAAATAAATCCTTATGACTGCAGCATACCTGCGTGTGTGTGTGTGTGTGTGTCTGTGTCTGTGTGTCTGTGTGTGTGTGTGAGCTGTGTAGTTAAACCGTCGCTGATACCTGTTTGTCCTCAGCTGTGAAAATTAGATGGCAGACACTCACTGATAATCCGGCATCTCTCTTTCAGTTGCGGGCCTTTTCTTCATTCATAAAAATGCAGCGCACACAGGGATCTGGGGAGAACCATAAGAAAGAGGTGGCAGGAAGCGAGACAACACAGAGTGTGACGGGGTAGGAGCGGTTAAGTCAGAAGACACGCAAGGAGATAAAAGAAGGATTTAGGCAAGGAAGTCAGAGCGTGATGAGGGGGGGAAAAAAACTTGTGATGAGGTGGCATATGAGGGGGAGAGAATGAGACCTGTCAGGTGTCTCCTTCATTTGATGTTTCT